TTGCAAGAATCAGGTATTTAATGTTTTTGGTAAATTTAATAGTTTCAATAAAATATTTTAATATGAATTTTTGATAATTAGTGAACATGGATGTTTTTCCGTATTTGTTAATTATATTAATATTTCTTGTAAAAGTTCTATTTTTGTTCTTTACCAATTTACCTATTTGGCTCTTAAGGTTTTTCTTACCAATTTATATTATCCTTAATATAACATAACTAATCCTTTCTCATATAAGTACTATAGGGTATTTTATTTTGTTTTTTAAAATGTATCTGTTGCTTTCACTATGTATTGTAGTATGAAGAAAACACTTTTTGCTTTATTTGTAGACATAGTCCTAAAAGTTCTTAAGATATTTAAAACATGTCTGGATAGCTGTACTCCAGACACAATAGCTTTGTCCTATATAGGCATTTTCTTAACAGTTTAAAGTGCCGTTACCTAACCTTTAGGTAATAATCATTTGTCTTTAACTCTAGCTTATAATGGCCTCTAGTTAAATAATATTTTTTACATATTAGCCAAATCCATTCTGTTACTCAAAAAGTTTGTTTTTAAAGCACAACTTATATAGGAGTAAATACATAAGTTATCTGTATGTTCACTTTCCAAGGTCTAAAATAGCTGTTAATAAAGAACGAACAAACCAGAAACCATGAACTCAGAGAAATGGTGAATGAGTGTTCGCATCAGACTTGCAAAAATTAAAATAAACTTTAACAGTTGGGGTTTCAGTACTGAGTGAATAGGACTAATTTGCCAAGAGATTCCACTATCTCCTAATGTACATTGGTGTTGACATTTGGTGATTGCTGTGGGAAAAGAATGTAAACATTGCACACAGCAGTAGCACTCCTTCTTGGCGAGATTACCAACTGTCCCTCTTGGTTTCTTTGTTTTATTGTTTCCTGGTGCTCATGTTGTATGATGGTACCAGCCTTACCACAAACTGCTATTGTCAAACAGACAACTGAATAGAAGTAAGGAAGCTAGCTAGAGTTTGTTTCTCTCACTGGAAATTCACTATTTTGTGGAGGAGATAGGTCACCAGAATGGGAAGATGGTTTATAGCAGAGGTTCTTAACTACTAAGTGGTAAACATCACAATTACTAATGGAGGGTTTTGTTTTGTTTTTCTATTAAACTAATGCCAGGTGAAGCTAAGAATGGTTTACCTGGAAGCATCCTCAGATTTTTCTGGAGGTGCTCTTTGAGCACTGTAGAGGGTTTTAGAACAAGATTTTGAGGTTTCTTTTTTGTTCTTCTGTATTAATTGTAGTCATCTAGGAATGGAGTAGACATGCCTTATGTACAGTGGCAATTTTATTTGTTTACAGGGAACAGAAAGAACAGCTTCAAAAGATGAAAGACTTTGGATCTGAGCCACAGATGCCTGATCACCTACCACCCCCGGATTCGAGATTGCAGAATACAGCTTCAAGACCTGGAATGTATCCGGTATGGAAAATGTGTGCTCAGAAAATGAAATGGTTCCTACTTTGTATGTTTTTCTATTCTTTGGTATTTTTGTATTACAATAAGTATAAATTTCCTGTATAAAAATATATGTAAATTTTGGAAAAGTAAAAAGCTAATGGTAATTGACTTTTGAAAATCTTATACATATGGTCAAAAGTGCAACAATGCTTTTTTTCCCAGGTTTTGATAAGTACACCAAGCACACCTGATCTATATGGCTTCATGTTCACAAAATTGTAGAATTTTTCTAATAATCCTGTTTGTTCCAATAGTCTTGTTTCCGTCTGGGCAGTGCAGGGCCTCCCTTATAGTCATCCAGCCTCTTGAATCTACTAGTCCTTCAGCTAGGGGAGGGATCAAACATGCACCATGCAGGCAGTAAAGAGGGGAGTTTATGTTAAAAACTTCTTTGTTTGAGTTCTTCATTTGTTTGCCTTCATTTTGTTGTTGTTTTACCTTTAGCCAGTGATGGGCTTTAGGACTATTATCATGCAAATAACTATAACAACACAATGAGAGGGGGAAAAAAACACATGAATCATTTCATCAAATTCACTCTTTTCATTTCTCATTGTTTCCTGGCCTAACACATAACACTCATACAGTTGTTGACATCACCAACCACCATGATGTTGACTCCCAAATTGTATCTCCTGACCTCTGTGTGTATCCCATCTGTCTGTAGGCGTGTCTCCTGTCAAACTCAGCATATTTGAAATGGAGCTCATTATCATCCTCTATCAAACTTGTTCTCACCATCCCTAGTCACCCAAACTTACACCTGAAGTTCAGCCTACTGCTTTCCTCTGTCCTGCCCTTCTATATTCATTCATTCTATTGACTGATTTCACTATCTTTTTTGGGGGGGGAGGGAGAAATGGGGGAGGGGAACAGTGTTGGGGAATTGGGGAGGGGGACCAGCCAAGTTGTCCTTTAATCTTAGTTGTGGAGGGCACCAGTTGCCAACTCACTGCCCATCCTCAGCTCATGGCCTCTAAGCTCAAGGTGCTGTGTTACAATCTTAGTTGCGGGTGGGCGTAGCCACCATCCCATGTGGAAGTGGAACCAGCAGCCTTGTTGTTAAGAGTGCTCACTCTATCCACTGAGCCATCCGGGTGGCAG